TAGTATCTCATATCTTGATTAGATTTATTTGTTATTTTCTTTTTATTATTTTCAATTAAAGTTTCTTCCTATTTGATTGTTCAAATAAATTTGGATTAATTGTTTTGGTACTTAGTTAGACACAATTCTCGTGGGTTCGACACTCTATTCATCATTATATTACTTGGAGCGACTAGTACACTTACTAGGGTGATTTTAGTGCATCATTCTCCTAAATTTTTTTGTTTAGGGAAAAATCCTATATACGTTAAGCTCTGAACTTACCCCATTTTTACACATAAGCCCCTGAACAAAAATTCAATCTTATAAGCCCCTAAATGCCTCCATCCCTGCATATTACCCCTTAACAGATTCCGTTAGTTCCGTTACAGTTTCCTATTAGCTCTCTAAGAGTTGATTGACATGCCTACAAAGAAGGTGAAGATAAAATCAAATAATGTTTATTATTTTAGGATGGAAGGAGTATTAAATAAATAGATACATATAATATATTATAGTATAGATTTTAATTAAGTAAAAAGAATTAATTATTAACTTGACATATGAGGTTATAGAAAAAAGTTATCCAAAATTATTGTTTTTGAATCATTTTACATTTTGAAATTAAAGTGGGATCACGAAGCCACGTGGGCAGTACGATGTGGCAATTTAGCACTAATAGGTCATGGGCTAACAGAAGATGAACGGCCTCCTAATACATGTGACGGGTTGCTATCAATTGTTTTTTTTTTTTTTTAATAAAGTGGTAATTACACTGATAATATTAGTATATACTCTTAAGAAATGGGGAAGTTCAATCTTAGGACTTGAACTTGATGTCACCAGGGGTGCCATCACTTTGCTTCATTGGGATTAAGTCACCAGTTCGAAGGATAACAATGGAAGTTTTCACTCTTGTTCTTAAGCCAATAAAAAGATCAAACTTGAATAAGGTCAAACATCTTGTCAGCGTTGACTTCCCCATTGTTGAATAGTCTTTCATTTCTAGTTAACCAAACTATCCACCCTAATGCAAACCATGTGACTTCCCAACCCATTTTCATGCTGTTTGAGAATGCCAAACCTTCATGTTGAATGAAAGCATCCCAGCAAGTTTTTGCACATACAGTGCTTTTTTTTTTTTTTTTG